TCTCTCTCTCTCTCTCTCTCTCTCTCTCTCTCTCTCTCTCTCTCTCTCATATACTTTAATTTGGATCTGAAAGTCAAACCTCTCCAACAAGTCTGTGCCTTAAGTTGCTTTTGTCACCACCACCAAGTCCCTCCTTCCCTTTCTTGTTTCAACAACCAAACACCAACCTCCACCCTTCCCCTTGGACCGTGACTAGCAGCCACCAAGGACCACCCACAGCCACCACCGAGCTGCTGCTAAGGAATTCCGACAACCAACCATCGCCTCCATTCCTTCCCTCTTTTCTATTGACCGAAGCAAGAAGACCCATCAGTAGGGGCTGCCACCCACTACCGACGCAAAACACCACTCCAACCACCCTCGTCCATCTGTTTTTTCAAACAAACACCAACCAAACACCCCGCTGCTGCTACAGTGAGATCAGAATCTTGAGGCGTCACAAGGTGCCATGGAAATTGTTGAAAAGGGATTCATCGGAGGTGAAGAAAAGGGTTTTCGTGTGCCCTGAACCCGGCTGTTACACCATAACCCTTGCCACGCGCTTGGAGATCTCGTCGGGATCAAAAAGCACTTTCGGACGAAACACAACAATAATAAGTAGTGGGTTTGTGAGAAATGCTCAAAGGGTCATGTTGTACAATCTGATTACAAACTTTTGGAGAAAATGCACATGAATCGAACTGAAAATTGAGTTATTTGGGTTCATAAGATGATGATCAAACAAAATACTAGTCAAAGTAACCGATGATCATAGCTCAAAAGTTGAGAGAGAGAGAGAGAGAGAGAGAGAGAGAGATGGGTGGGGCCCAAATTTGATCTATCTATTATCCAAACCGGCTAAAACAAGTAAATGGTCTAAAAGAACAGGTTACCCACAACTTAGTTCCCTCATAAAGCCATAAAAAAAATTTAGTGACTAAAAGGGTAAACCCTAAAAAGTTCGTAGGCTATATGTGTCATTTTCCCTAAAAACATATCAAGAAATTGACCATAAGAAGAGGCTCCTCCATCTGCCCCCTCAATGCACTAAATCCGCCCCTGCATTACATCCTGTACATGGCTTGTTCTTTACTCATTATGTTGTCCTTTCAGACCTAGAAGGTCTTAATGGACATGAAAAATCATAAAGTTGGAAGCTTTATGACTCTTGAGGATGATTTAGCCTTGGATCTAGAAATGGGACGTAAGAGCTTAAGGCATTAAGCTCTTAATGAGATTTTGGGAAAACTGGGCGTACACCCTCCATAATCTGAGTACACAGCGCATACGTGGTCAACCACCCCGATGGTGGTCAATGCTCGAGTATGCCCAACGTACCTTAGGAGTACGCCCCGCATATGCTCAATGTGTCGACTCGGCTGGGTTGACTCAGTTGACATATGGATTTTGACCGATTTGACTTTGACATTGACCAAGTTTGACCAATGGGTATTTTGAATGGTGTTTGAGAATTGGTCATTTGGATGAATAGGTGTCGGTTAGAGCTAAGATTCGAAGTCGGGACCTCATCAGCTACTATTCAGAATGTAAGGTGAGTTTTCCTCACTGTACTTGCGGGTCAAAGGCACCAAGGCCGACCCATTGGATTGATATCCTGCTATACATTGATATGCTGAGTATAGAATGAATCTGCATGATTATATGCTAGTTGTCGATATGCTTAGTCTGGTAGATCTGTGGGACTACATGTGATTCTGTCTGCATGATTATCTGTATATGTTTGTTATCTGTTACATGGCGACATATTATGGTGGGTTGAGGTTGTACTGCTTTGTGTTGTAGCCAACAAACCTGGGAGCATTCCAGATATGAGCTGAGGGTCAGTTGGCATGCCAGACTCATACTGAGGGCTCAAGAGCATTCCAGATACGAGCTGAGGGCCGATTGACATGCCAGACTCATACTGAGGGCTTGAGGGTTTCATTAATCCACAAATTCTTACATATGTGTCTTACAGGTGGATAGCAATCTTCTGGAAACAAGCATGCAGTACAACTTTCACAACAGCAATGTTTTCATTAATGCACAAATTCTTGTAAAACTTTTATTCTAGGTAATCATGATCTGTATAAGGGAAGAAGTCATCGATTTTTTTAATGTCTTTTCAAGACGTGAATTTTATTTTTTTATTGGGCATGGAACAATTGAATTTTTTTGTTAACTTTTCACAATAAGTATTAATATAATATTTATATTTGATATAACGATATAATTATGTGATTTATTTTTTAAAGAAAGTTAATAACTCCTGAGGTTCGATATTATGCATATCATGCCACGCACAATGTAAAACCTTGATTTTTATTTATTTTTTTATGTTTTTTTTGTGAGTGAGCCCCCATCTACCGATAGACCATTCTAATATTAGTAATGGTTGGACATATTGTTATGGACAATTTTGTCCTCCGGATCTTCCTTTAAATAATCACACAAACAGCTGGATGTGGATGGAATGTAAAATGGCAACCACCGGAGATGAGCAGAAGCATTTTGTTCTGGTACACGGAGCATGCCATGGAGCATGGTGTTGGTTCAAACTCAAACCTCTTCTTGAGGCTGCTGGCCACCGCGTCTCCGCCTATGATCTCTCAGCCTCCGGCACAAACACCAAAGTAATACAAGACGTGGCTACACTTGCTGATTACAGTATGCCGTTGCTGGAATTCATGGCCACCATTCCGCCGGAGAAAAAGGTGGTGCTCGTCGGACATAGCCTTGGTGGTATGAACTTGGCTCTGGCCATGGAGAAGTTCCCGGAAAAAATCTCTATAGCAGTCTTCCTCACTGCTTTTATGCCGGATACTGTACATACGCCTTCCTATGTTTTCGACCAGGTAAAAAAAAATATTTTTAATTGTTTTAATATAAATAAATTATCTTTTTTTTTTTGAGATTTTAATCTAATTTTATTTGTTTATTTTTTTAATTATTCTTATTATTATTATTTAGCATTAGCATTAGCATTAGCCTTTTATTTTATTTTTCTCCATATCAAGTCATTAATATATACTGATATATGTTGATATTTATCAACAAATGTTAATTAAAAAGATTATATTTCCATAATTTAAAAAATAGTATATCGTATGCGACGCCATATAAGGAAACAAGTAACCTAGAAATGAATTGTTCAAGCATGTGATTGACGTAATATTTTGTCGATTTAACAATTAATCAAATATTTTTAATATAACATTATAATGTTAACGTTTTAGTGTAAATATTAATTACTTTGGTCTTTGAAATTTATACGTTTTCTTTATTGATGTTTTGACTTTTGATATATACGGTTGCATACCAAGTTGTATGATCATTTCGTTGTTGCACGTCATATTTTTTTTTATAGAAAATAACTTAAAAGTATAACAAAGTTTTAAATTTAAAAAAAAAAAAACATTTAACTTTGTTCAGTCGAAAAATGGTAACAAACTCATTATACATATATATAACGGTTAAAGTTATCAATTTATTTTAAGTCATTTTCCAACACAAAATTTGCCAACTCAGTTATAACCCATAATGATAATGTGTTTTTTTAACAAAATAATACTTTAATGGTTTATAAATATTGCAGGTTTTATTTTTGTGCTAAACAAAGCTAAACAATGTCTTTTGTATAATTTTGAAACATAATTTGTTACGATCAAAAGTAAGATCAGTGATCCACATAAACATAAATAACATGTTATCATGTTAATTCTAAAAAATTTAATTTTAACTTTTGTATATAACATGTGGTTAACTTCGTACGTCATATTTTCAAGGAAACTATACATAGTTATCAACACAAAGCAATAATTCGGGCATGACTAATATAGTAAACATCAAATAGGACATGAATAGTAAAATCTACTAAAGTAGTGGTGGTGGACTCGTGGGGCCTAAAAACTATATCCACAAGACTTCAAATTAATTGCTGGATTGATTTCAAACAATCAAAATTGTCGATACAAACAAATTTTTTTTTTCCATTAGGGAATTAAATCCTGACCATAAATTTCAATAATTTGTATTAAATGTGGTAATTCATTAATATTTTAAGTTGTAATATCATAAGCCAATATTTGTAAATTATTCTAAAACAAATTCTATCCTTATAATAACGAAGCTGAGAAGAAAATTTTAAGATGATATGACCAAATATAAGAAACTATGTGTAAGACTCGTGTATTATACAGGTTTATTAAAAATAAAAATTTAATATCAATATATAAACATGAAATATTTTATAAAGTAATAATTTACATAACAGAATGTAATCTTTTGGAACATTTGCAAAAGAAATTAAATCGTTTTGAGGATTTATGAGAATTTATTATCAAATCAATAGGATGATTTTATTTCTTTATAAAACTCATTGCAATTTTATGGAATTTTATTTTAAGAAAATGGAAATCCCTAAAAAATGACAAGTGGAAAATAAAAATTCTAAAACTCTCACAAAATGACAAGTGTCAAAATGAAGGAGAAGATGACATGTGGCAAAAAAAACCTTCATTTATTAGAGAAGATTACAAAAAAGAAATCTCTTCTCTATTCTAATAAAAGAATAGTTTTATTCTCCTTTTGACATGTATCACCCTATTAGGCTTCCTAATCTTTCTATCTAATAAATGAATAAGATTAATCTAATTTTGTCATGTGTCAAGCTAATAAATCAATAATATGCCACGTGTCATTGTTTTGGTTCTCCAATTTGAATTTCATTTTACAACTCATACTCATAAATACTCATAAATTCTTATATGTCAACAATATATGTCAATATTACCCACCGCACCTATCCCCTGATTAAGGGAGATTTACCAAATTTTGTTACACTTATTATGTTTACATTTCAAGAAATTCCATAAATATTAATGTTAGTAGATTTTGAGATTTTTCAACGTCACGAGAGATATATTAGACCCGCATATGTATTAAAATATTCATGCTTTAATATTATTTTTTTTTACGAATTTATAAGTTTTTTATTTACAATTTTTTTTGTCGTATGAAAAAAAAAACTTCATAAGTTCAGAGACTTATTTTCAGAAACATATTTTCCTGCTTATTTACCATGTGTATGCATATCAAATCCCTGAAATTCCTGAAAATTAGCAAAATTTCAAAGAAATTAAAGATATACCAAAATTAACAAACACCATTGACCAAATAAATATACTTTATCATTCAAAAATCTAAAATACGGTTATGATAAGCTAATTTTAATATGTATTGAATACCTTCCATATCAAGCCTTCCATATCACCAATGTTATATAAAGTACGATTTCAATACCTTTACATTTTCTCTCTGCATTCTTTTTCTCCTCCTCGAATTTCATATTACAAGGTACTACAAATCCATGTCTTTCCTCCTCGAATTTCTCTCTGTATGTTGTCGTAGAGGTGAGAATTTGGACCGGTGCATCGGATCGGACCGTTTTTTGGACCCCCCAAGCCAGTTCTCGGTTCTAGGAATCCATCAAAATCGGTCCGATTTTTTCCCGGTCCGGTCCGGTTTTTACCGGGTTTAGAACCGGTTGGACCGATTTAAAAAAAAAATTGTAATCTGTGAAAATTTTAAAACAACCATAACTCATTCGTTTTAAGTTGGATTGACACGCGATTTTTTTTCCAACGTTTAATTTACAGTTTGTAGATGAATTTAGACTATAATTTTGTTGCTTTTGGTATTATATTCAATAATTTACAGTCTTTCATAGTTGAGCTATAAAAGCTGAAAATTTTCAGCTTTTCAGCAACATTTTTAAAATTTTGTAATCTGTGAAAATTTTTAAACAACCATAACTCATTCGTTTTAAGTCGGATT